CTTGGGATGCAGATTTGTAGAGGATTCCATTAATTTTGCTGAATGTAGATTAAGCTTCTTCTGAAAAGAACTGATACAACTAAAATATGCGCCTTCCGTTTTCCTGCTCCATTCTCTAAAACTCGAAGGTCACATCGAATTCCCTTTCTCCTTGCTCTACTCTGCATCTACTCTGAGCTCCGGTCCCGCTCAATTCACAGAAAGCGTCACACATTTCTCCTTGCCCTGCTCCACTTTTTTACCGAAGGTGACGCACTGCGTGCTTTGTTTGGGGATTCCTTCAAAGGTCTTAAATGACATGTAGTTGCTGGAAACTAATTTTTGTTGATATTAACCTCTATGATCTGTGCTCTTATGCAAGATTGATGATATGCTTCAGAATTTAAAGCAGGAGGTGGCCAACCAAGATTCCAAGAACCGGATGCCCCTCTCAGAGGTAAGTTTTGCTTTTGTTTTGGCTTATCAGAGAATTAGATGAAAAGAAATTAATTTTAAAGTTTCCCTAAAAATTTAAAGTTATAGTTTGGATTTGCTTCAGCATTTTGCCGAATTGTTGTTTTATTCATGTATTGAGGGCACAACAGAGCTACAGTATTGTTGTTTTATTCATGAATATTGCTTTTGTTTAGGTGTTTTATTCATGCATTTGTTGAATATTGCTTCAGAACTCAATGACCTACTTTTTGTTAAGTTTTCCTTCCTAGTAATAGATGCAAGTCATTGAAGCAAGGTTAAGGAATCGTAGCGTCAGTATTGTGTGTAAGACCACTTGGTTTGGATTGGGGAAGATAAAGGTGAACTTTTGAAATAGGAAGACGTTCTTACTTGAGAGGAAATTGAAATGAATGCAGTTTTTTCAATGGAAATGTGGATCTTCTAGTTATTTTTGGACTGGTTATAATAGAGGACTTGACGTATGGGATTTAGAGGCTCGTTGGCTACAAGTAGATTTTGTAAATCATTTAGATTCATATTTATTTACTACAAAAATTTATTAAATATTGATAAATATTTAGTTATTCGTTTCAAGATTTAAAAAAAAAAACTGTGGATGAGTAATTCTTAATTTCATTAAATTCTAAGAAAAATTGAGATTTAACAAATTCTAATTTGCTTGTTGTTGTTGGTATAACTGGTTGATAAATTGCTATAGAAAAATATCTAGAAAAAACTATGGTGAGTTTTGCAGATGCAGTTTTTTTTTTGTTGTGCTAATGGTGTCGATGATATACAAAAATCGAAAGAATCTATGTTAGATATATGCACCTTTGTTATTTGCTTTTAGTGTTATATGTACAAAAGTTGTCTATCTATTGCATTTGATTATGTTTTTATTTCTGTTTGCAGCTTCACATGTAAAAACATATTGTTTTTATTTTTTGTCTTGATTGATTGTAATATTTCTATAAGTGCCCCTTTTATTAATGTTTTTATTGTGTTAAGCTAGCTTTTTCTGGAGCAATTTTTACTATGTTATTTTATTTTTTTTGCAAGAACCACTGGATTGAATTTTAAAACTAAGTTGTTCATCTGACTATTAGAATAACTTCAACGATAGAAGAGAACACATATTTGTTAGTCGTGTTTAAATATGGTGGATATAGAATATTGGAGTCATGTTAAAAATCAAGCTAGAAAAGCTATGGAGGTGGAAAGTGATGTGTCCTAAAGCATTCTTAATTTCCTTTATATTTTGCACCTGTTTATAGATGAAATTGCACTTAAAAAAAAGATAATTTTGTGTTTTTCTTGCAGGTATAACAAGTAGGATACATGAAGCGAAGTGGAGCTGAAATGGGATACAAGTATTCGTTGAAGCAGAACTGTCTTGATATAAAAAACTTGCCACTTTGAGAATGGAAGCCTTTATAGCCTTCGAAATTTTTTGAATAATCTATAAAGACACACTGCACACTTCTTTGATCTAGTTTGCTTTGATGTGAGGGAGAAAACCAAGGAAAGCATTGACATCCATATGCCTGAATATGTTTATAATCAGGTGGATATTTGTGTAGGACTTGAGAGGTTATTAGTTTAGAGTGTTTTAAGAGGAGATACAGTTGATTAAGTGGACAAATGTTAGTTTGGTGTCTGGCAAGGTATTTAGTGGCAAGTTAGATGCAACACATAGGGTTTTCACAGTTTCTAGGATATTTTGATATTTTTTTCTGCTATGTCTTTTTTTTTTTGGGTGTGTAATGGTAAAAGAAATAATAAATAATGCCATGTGCAGCCACAACTTATCAAATTGTTAGCTCCTGAATTCCCCACCACCATAAGATCTTGTACATTTTATGTGATCATTGAATTGCTTTTCAATTATTGTTTGAACTTTATGAAGTGTGTTAGATTTTCAAATTTATGGACTATATGAAACACCCATGCATCAAAAACAAGTACATAAAACTAAAAACCTTGATTTGAGTTATGTGGGAATAGTGCCACGACATCCGTATGGATGCGTTTTAAGGGATGGTAGGTCTGGTTATTAGAAGAAGAAAAGGTAGCCTTTGTTGGTTGGCTGTAATACATGAATTGCAAAAGGATGTATGTGTTGGAATACAAATACAGGGTTGATGTTTTAAAATAAGAAGTCATACATCATTATTAAAATGACCAAATCTATGATGTTAGACATTAGTAGTAGTTTTCAATAGCATGGCTTGCTTGGGGATGGGAATGGTATAGAGTTCATCATGACAGAAACCTTGGAGTAGCATTTGTTGCAATGTCTGATCTTTGATTTGGTAGCTAGAGGCATCAAACAAAATGATGTTATTATTAGCAGAAGCAAGTTGAGAGATGGAAATGAGATTATGTGTGATTTGTCCAGTGTGAAAGTATTTGGAGAGAAGAAGCTTATGAGTGGATTAGAAAGCAATCCTTGATCGGAGTTTTGATGGGGACAACATTGTGATTGCGAATAAAGACATGATCTTGTATTTGATATGATTCGGACTGCTGTAATTTTTTGAAATCAGCTGTGAAATCATGATTTGAGGCTTTTATGTCAAATTACTTATCTTGATCTTAGTTTGAAGAGGTTATAAGTGTTGTGTGATCTGTTGGTTTGTTGGGCTTATAGTTAAGAATAAAATAAGGCCAAAATTGATGAGCTAGGTGGCCTTATTTGTGGCAAATTTGATAGATGGTTGTTATGCTCATTTGAATTTTTGAAGGAGTTGTTGATGCATCCCATTCCTTTGAAGCTACTGCGACCACATACTCTTTGATAATATAAAGTCATAGGATTGTTCTGTGGGTGTATGTTGATGGAATTATCACAATATATGTTTATCTCCTCACTGTAATGAGGCGACTAAAGTCTTTAGGACTAATGGGGGAATGGGATGTTCAGATATTAGTTTTGAAGGCCTGATAAGATGGAG